TCCCAATTACCCATCGCTGTAAGCCAAGTTCTGTCACTCAACAGTAGATCTCTGTACTGTTAGCATGGACCCTTGTCATGCAGTCAAGATCATACTTTTTTTTTAGTGATTAGGTGTTCATTATTAAGAACACACTGTAGATGCACACCCTGATACCTTTTATTTTTTCTTAGAATCTGACTAGTAATTCCTTGTATATTCATGTGGTGTATTTAGCACCAGGTGCTTGCTTCCCTACAAGTTATTAGAGTCTATAGCTGAAGCAGCCAGTGTATACTCTGTTGTTGGTGTTACTCATGTTTTCCTCTTTGGAAAATACATGGTTATTCATGGAGTTAGTTACTACTGTTTACTAATAATGGGCCATAAATTGTAACAATGTTTATAAGCCTAGCTACTCTTAAGACATGATTATTTAGATAATTTATTTATAATTCTATAATGAGGAAGATTAGCAGTGGTACTGAAAGGATTTAATGTTAGGAAAAGAGCTAAGTAAATTGATTCAATAATGTTGAGACTATTTATGCCTTCCTTTATTTCATGTTTTAAACGAATTATAAGACATAGATCCCTAATGAAATAACATCCCTGTCAGAAATCATTATCTATCATGCCTTTTATCTGTATACTTCCTTTTCCAGTTAGGGTGGTTCAAGAAACAAGCTGCTACTTGCAATACTGACATGGGTTCTCAGCTTACAATGAATTGAGTTAGCTAGCTTCTTTACACTACTAATGATTTTCATCATTATATACTGAGATCCCCCAAGTTTCTCCATCATGTGAGGTTGACGCCTGTATTTTCTCTCACATCCAGGCTTTAAGATCTCTTCCACAGGCTGCAATCCACTCTGTTGTATGAAACTATCTGCCATAAATACCGTTTTATAATGGATTAGTCCTTACATCTGGCTGTATTTCCCATTGTCTGGCTCTTCACCTTGCATAATATTGTAATTAATCTTCTTCATTTTCTTCTAATAGTCATTCCCTCTTCATTGTCTTTCCCTTGCTCATCAATTTCACAATACATCAAAATATGCTTTTTAAATTATTCATAATTTCTGTTTCCAGCTGTGACCTGTCAGTTCCCAGGGTGACCAGAGTTTGATGTCCTTACATGTGTATTGGGACTAATACATATCTGTAAAGACTCTCTGCACGGTTCACAATAAGATGTTTCATTCTTCATAAAAATTAGCTTGTGATTTTCTGCTTCATCTTACTCTTTATTTTACATATTTTCTGTCTTCCTTGCTGCCTTAGCTAATCCTTCAACCTTTGCTCTTTCTCTTGTCTGCATTTATGTACTCATAGCTTCCGTTGGCAAAGTTGCTAACAAGTTTATTGACAACTGTTAGTTTAGAAGATGACTTCATTTGATGATATTTTGACCTGTCATAGGTTGTCTTGAATCAAGACCTTGAGTTACAGAAAGTCTGTAATATGCAAAACATCATGAGCAAGGAAGAAGGGTATTATTTTAAATAGTGTCCTTGCCTGCAAACTCAAAAACTCTCCCTTTTGCCTATTTTTACTTTTGTCTCTACCAAGAAATCTTCTGAATATAACAGCGGTGATAATGCCCAATCTGTTCCATTATGGCTTATGTTAACTATTGTTTCTCCTCACACACATCAGCTCATCATTGAAGATTTTTAATAGTCATTGTAACAATGCACATTCTCAAAAATCACATTCTTTGCTGTATTCTTGCCACCTTTGGCTGTCACTCAAGTGTTTCTTCCACCATGGTGGGATTGACTAAAAACACTTTGCTCACATTCCAAACACATAGCACCTCTCACAAATCTTTCTCCCAATTGCTTTCTCCTGGTACTGGAATGCATCATATATTGACTTTTTTTTTCCAGAGTGTATAAGTATGATTCAGCTTCACACTCCTTAAACCTTCCTTCTTCCTTGCTTATATATTCCATAATTTTTGGTGTATCTGGTTAACCAGTGTCTTGCTTTTTCTGTTCTGTAACTCGGATGTAATGTTGACTGTTGGGGAGAGTAATGTTGTCAATAATATCTGTGTCTGGTGAAATATTCATCTTCCAGGATTTGTATATTGGATATAATATTTAACAGGTGGCTTGTACTACTGTGAATTTGTCTTGATCTTCATTTATTAAGTCATCCCTTCTTTTTCGTAATTATTATTCTGTGACTAAACTGTGAGGAATAGCTTAATATTCAATCCCTCAAAGTTTTTTAATCCTGTCCTATGGCCCCTGAAATAACTGTTATATATAATTGATTCACACTTTTTCTGTGTGTATTTTCATGCAGAAAGAGAGAGAATTAAAATTTTGAAGTTTTAGCTGTGTTTATAGCACAAGTGGTTACCCATGTGTCGTGTCTTATTGGCCTCTGTGGAGGGTTAGTGTTAAGTCCTCAACTCTGTGGATCTTCCTTCTAAATACATTATGTTAAGGAAAGGTAAATTCCCAAGTGATTTCCAAATAAAACACACAATGGAAAGAATCTGTATATTTTGACTTCATTAAAAAACATACTTCAGATCTGGAGAAAATAGTGCAAAATTAACAAGTTGTGAAAAAGACACAATTGCAGAATGGAACTTTATTGAGATGTTTTGCCTGTGGAATAGCTGAAACATCTTCATTAACTGAAGGAGCCTGTTTCACAGCTGAAAAGGGTCCACTTTAGTTTTGTGCCTTTTAACTCTTCAGATCTGCTGAAAAAGGTCTCTGAGGCTGAAGTATATAGGTTTTTAATTCTGTGTTTTATTTGTTCTATATGTGGAGTTTACCTCTTCATTGATAAGTGTTTATGACACTTTTATCAAAACTTTTTTTTTTTTTTTTTTTTTTTTTTTTCAACAAATCGGCCGTCTCCCACCGAGGCAGGGTGACCCAAAAAGAAAATACTTTCATCATCATTCAACACTTTCACCACACTCGCACATTATCACTGTTTTTGCAGAGGTGCTCAGAATACAACAGTTTAGAAGCATACACATATAAAGATACACAACATATCCCTCCAAACTGCCAATATCAAAACATTATGTTAAATTGATAAATAATCCTGCAGGTGATATATTAAATATTAATTCTATCATTGTGAAATATCCTGAGTTTTTGCAATGATTTTTAGGTATAGGCACAAGCAAACGTTAATACATTTATAAATACATAATTGATCATAATGTTAGATTAGTCTGCATCTTATATCTACATTATACAGTACATGGTTTATATCTCAGTTGATGGGCCTGTTCCTGACACCTTCAAGCACTCCCTCCTCCTCTTGCTTATTCTCCCTCTGTTTGATTATCCCTCCTATTCCATCTTTTGATAATTCCATCTTCCTTTCCTCTTTATCTCCCCTCTTCCCTCTGCTTTTTTTTTTAGCAATACTCTCATTTTCATTCACATTTGAATATGTAGTAGCTTATTGTAATTATGCTTAGCATTGAAGATATTAATACCTGGCAGAAGATGTCACAGTTGTTGGCAAGCCACGAGCCCAGTAGTTGTGTAGAAAGTGTCTTCCTTTCTTGTGTTGTTTCATTCAGTGTTTTAACAGCTTCATGTTTCTAATATGAAGTTCTGCAGTTGTATAATGCAGTAAGAGGTCTCAGTATTTGTTTTTCAGGTGTGTAAAGAAAACCTCTTTATCTACATTGTGAAGATCTTAGTCATTTATTTTCTTTTATTTAATTGTAAACGTGTATATATCTTATTGAGACCTGTCCTTCTAAGTTCAACATTGGTTTTGTATCATAAGTCACTTTCTCAACATATGTTATTTTGGGTTAGGTTAATGGCATTTCACCCAATTTAACTAGTTATACATTAATACCAAATAATTGAATACTAATGCACAAAGTTGAGACTGTTTTTATATGTTAACAGAAAATGGAGTTACAAAGAGAATGAACATAGACTATTACAAAACCATCGTTCACATTTTAATGTCACTGTCTCCTTTCCCCTGTCCCCCTCCCTTCTCACTCTTGAGTCAGTAAAAAAACTCGTATTTGCTTATGAGGATGTGGGTTACTTATTTCCATACTTTGTCTGATATAAACATTTTGGATTATATTTACAGAACTTTTTCTGTGACCCTGAATGTGTTTTGTTTCTCACACTTACATGTGGGATTATCACCAGACATATGAATCATTTGGTGTTGTGTGTGGGAAAGTTAGAGCACAGTCAGTAATTCATCTTTTAACCCTTAAACTGTCCAAACGTAGATCTATGTTCACGTGCGTAGCACTCCGACCTGGATTTTCCCCATTTGAAAGCATGTAAAAAAAAAACGCAGATCTACATTCGCAGATCTACGATCTACGTCAATGTATATCTACGTTCGGACAGTTTAAGGGTTAATATAACAGTAAGGTCAGAATAAGTGACCTTGATGATGAGCATTAAGAAACCCCTTTGACCCTCTCCTCCCCCCCACAAAAAAAGTGCACATGTATTAAATGGCAAGTATCTGATAAATAAGTAATATGTGGCACAGTGTAGCATAGTGTGCCCTTTTTATTATTGGATATGGTTTCACCCTAAATAGTTTTTATCAAGGCTACATTTATTAGACTTAATAAAAGCCCTATTTAGGGGAAAAAGTTGTCTAATAAAAACCCTTGTTCTGCTACATGCACATGACTTTATCTGTATATTTTGGCCACTGTTAGAGTCCCTGTTCAATAGATCTCTGACTGTCAAAATATACAGATCTCTTCCTCACTTGTATCTCGGTTTTTGTTCCAAATTATTTCTTGCCTCTCTTTGATCAATGTTTATACACGTATCAAAGTAACTGTGGAGGTAACTTCAGCATGTAAACTCAAATGAACATATTCATACCTTGATTATTTGCAAGATGAAGTATTTACATGTGCTTCATACATATTAGTTTGTTTTTTTCTCTGTTTCTATAAATTTAGCAACTTAATATCAAGTCTATATCATGAAGTTTTTAATAAAGTAGGATTGCTTTCTTGCTCACAGGTACACGCCGGACAAAAATCTCTTCCAAAGGTGGAAATGAATTACAGATGAATAGCAATGAAGATACTAATGCTTCTCCAAATGATGCCACAACTGGTGGAGGTAATGGTGTTTAACCTTATAATGAGAAGTTAGATATAAAAAATAACAAGACAAGAATATATTGCACATAAGTAAGTCATTTAGTCACAGCCTACAGGAAATCTACATTAACTACAGTATGTTGTCTGCCTTTCCCTGTTGTTACTGCTTGTTTGCTTCTGGTGGATTTATTTCTGTCTTAAAGAAAATGTATATAATATGTGACCAAGTACCCAAGATTCCTCAAGAAGGATTTTATTGCATTCAAACTGCTCTAGATTTGTCTTGTGTAATGGTCTCTCCAGTGTGATGCCACCTCCTCCTCCTCCTCCTGTTACTTATAAGAAAATAATATATAGAATGTGCTAGCAGAAAATAGTATATTGGGTATTATTATGTTAGATGGTTTGGAATGGTTACAATCCATCGATGAATGCAGTATCAGCTATCTTTTATCTGACAAGGTATTAAGAGTAGCTGTGGGAAGTTATTTTTGGACTTTTAAGTTTTAGAAGCTATTTTAATATTTTGCCTGCCGTTGCTGGTACAGTATGCCAAGACAGCTTAGTCAACAGCCTTTCCTTTGGGCTTGAAAAGTCTATTGTGATTCGTCCATTTGCCATTCAGATGCAGTAATCAATAATGTTGATACAGTTTTGCTAGTTCAAGACACATTTTTTATGCCCAGCCTCATTAGTGATCATAATGTATAAGATTGATGGAAATAATGATATATGGTAATTCCATTGTTTACTTACAAGACACTGAGTAGATTCATAAGAACCCCAACATCATTGTACAGAGCCTTGTACAAAGAAGTATATCTGATCATTTGTGAGACTGTTCATCCCTGGTGGAAACATTGTCTCTTATCTTGGTGTTAGGATGTTTTCTGCAGTAAGATATGAGCAAGTCTGGCAAGTTGCTCTTGTCTTGAAACATATCTGTTTCCAGATTCAGACTTAAATTCACTTGCTTTATAACTGGAAAAATCCAGACACCTTGTAAGCAGTGGGAGTCATTTTCTGTACCTGTTTCTTGAGGTTTGCCTTGTTGGTCCTGACTTGCCTGCTGATTCATTACATAGTTATATTAAAGAGCTACAACTTAAAGATTTCAGGAAAGGTCTATGGCTTATGCAGACTACTTGTACCTTATCTTTACTCTGAAATTATAGTACCTTATCTTTACCCTGAAATTATAGTTGGTCAGTTCATAGTTATGAAATTAAACTCAAGATTCATTATCATAGCATGTTCAACATCTTTTTGTGTGGTAAAATTTTAACTTTAAAATAATGAACTAGCTGAAGCTGAAGCTTAATGCAAAGAGTTGTCTTGCATGTGTCCCAGGCTGTAAGCCTGTGATTCACATTCTGGTCATATGGTAGACCTGAAGTTGAGCAGGCCAAATGTCTTCCATTTTAGCAGCATAATGCTTAATTAATCTAAATAATCAACTAATAGCCTCCTTAACATATCCAGTAACTATTAAGTATGTCATGTGTTTGATGGTGAGAAAGTCGAGCAATGTTAGTTGTTGTTTGGGCCTTTTAAGTAACTTTTGCTGTGGAATATTTTGTTATTGACTTTTTCAATCATTGGAAAAGCATGTAAAATGATGTGTTATCCTAATAACACTAAATTGCATGACTGTCTTCCCTTCATCAGGTTCCATTGGCAGCATTTTTTATTTTTAGCAACTAAATTAACTTCAAGTAGTAAAGACTAAAGTACATTCTTTATCATACTTTTAATTATTAAATTCTTTACTCTCATCTGATTATTTTTGTGCTGCTACTCATCACTTTGTCAGTTATATTCTTATGCCCTAGTCTAGTCTTTTTTTTTTTTTCATTCATCATTCATGCTTAATGCCTCATCCTGTGCAAAATAACCAAGTAGTCCTATGTACCTGTAAATCATTATTATTATTATTCAGGCATCAATCATTATCACAAACATCATCAATTATTATTTAGCAGGCCTTGTCCATTAAACTGTGCATTCACTAGTCTCTTGTTTTGCAATAGTTCAAGACTGTTGTTCATTTACTACCATTCAGTTAACTATTGCTGTTTTTACTGATATAAATTATTTGAGGCATTATTGTTTATTGGTTCTTTTAGACAATCATTTTTGTGTTTAGACTTCACAGTATATAAGACTTGTGAATATATTACTTTGTCCTCTCTTACTTTTTTTTCTATACCATTTTAGTCTTTTAACTTAACATGCTCACCCTTAATTAAGTACTGTGTAATATGCACTTTTCTAAGATGTGAAGTCTGCTGGACACCCACTTCACTGGTAAAATACTCTAAAATTTATTTTTAACAAGTGTCTTAAAATTATGCTACTCCGGTATTACTAGACATGTTTAAGGGAATACAATTATCAGCCCAGGATTGTAGAAATTAAAATTTTGTAATTTTATCTTATAAAAAGTGATATAAGTTTCTTGATACAGCAGTGCTCAGGTAAAACATGCTAGGTTATAGCAACTGAATTAGACAATTTTTTTATATATATACAGGAGGGGCCCCACTTATATGGCGGGTTAGGTTCCAGGCTACCGCCGTAAAGCGAATCACACTTTTTTTCACTTATAAATGCTTCTTAACATGTTTACACTATCATATATTAAATTAACAATAGAACCAAGCATTAAAAAAAACAAAAAAGTAAACTACACATACAGAACACTCATTACTTACCTTAAAATATTTGTAGTCATAGTGTAGGGTGAGAGGTGAGTATTTACTGTAGAAAGTCATATGTGGTAGCTCACCTTGCTACCATACCTACTACACGAAATATACGACATTTAAAGCCCCCAGAGCAATTATTATTATTATTATTACCATATGTACCTTGTTAAATGAGTCTAATAATTTCGAACACCTACCTTTAGATGCCATCATAAATGAGAGAGAATGAGTAAAGAAAAGAGAATAAGAGAGACACGGAGAATGTAAACAGACAAATGCATATTAATTCCTGTCCACTTACGGTTCACGCACTTTCATTTTCCATACGTTTGTGAAACTTTTACCATAATACAAACACTTTACATTGTGTACAAGTTGTCTTCACGTTGGTACAGTAGAATAAATAACAGCAACACTCCCATTCTCATACAACACACCATTTTTTAGAGGGAATGATGCTATGAGTGAAGGCATATGAAAGGAATAATTTTCTACAGTACCTCCAGTAATACTAATGTGTACACATTTTCTCTGATGTTGGACCAGAGAAAACAGAATTCTTTCTGTCACTACTACAAGCCGCCCAGATACCACATTTCATATTTATGTCTGTTTGTTCTGCTGTGAGTGTATGTTTTATGTTTATTTGTTATGTAACGTGCATCCTATATAATTTAAAAAAAAAATAATGGATTAATGAAAATTTCTATATTACCATAATTATTATTAGTAGTAGTATTATGGCATCTTCAACACTAGTGAGATGCTCTTAGTGATTTTAATGTGTACCTGCACACCAGCACAGTGTGTAAGTTTATTTAGGTACAGGTACACATAAGTATAATTCTCAGAGTATATATAAAATATGCAATAACTTTAAAACACTTGAAATTTTGGCAACTTTCCAGACATAATCGAGAGACATGGAACTTACGGAGGATGTAAACAAACATATTAGTGAGCAGACGCTGTAATAGTGATTCAGGCAGGGAGCTGTACAGACGAATTTTAGTCATAATTTGAAGTGTCCCTATTAACAAATCAGAGCAGGGCCCTCCTGTACATTGAAAATCTCAGTTTAAAATAGCTTAATCATTAATTGTCATCCAGGACAGCCACTTTGATACTTCAGTCAGTTGTGCTCCTTGTTTTCAGTAGTATAATACTGTACTGTACCACTTTATATTTAGACTCATTTACTTAAATTCAGCTTTACCTACATATTTCTTATTAAGTTATCTTTTCTCTTCATCATCATATACAAACCCTGTAATTGGGATTGTTTTATGGTTGTTTTAAATATTTTCCCAAGCCTTCAGTTTATGCTTTGATGAAGCATCATAATGGCATTCTTCATATGTATGGACCACATGTGCTGCCAAAGTATACATTACTCATTTGTGTTCTCTCTGATAATTTCTTGTTTTCCCTGGTATTAACTTTGTCAGTTATAAACTGTATATATACGTAAATCTCCATACAATATTTTTTGTTCACAAAGCTTCCATATGGTGCAGTAATTGTGAATTAGGGTGGTATTTTGTTGAGGGCTCTTGATTTACATTTTTTTTTTTTTTTTAATTTTTACCAGTAAATTATACATTGGAATATGCTTTAAAAAATTTATAGTACAGTAGGGCCTGACATTAATAAGTTCCTGAAAATTGTTCATTACTAAGGTGTTTGCAACTTGGAACCTACTCTCCTATAAACACCTACTATATTGTAATCAAATGATGCATTTCCCAACCATAATATTCCATACTTATTTTTCACTTTTTGTTTCAGTGAAATTAAAAGCATTGTAAAGTATTTAGGTGAGATTCTTCCTTTTCCTCCTCTCTTACTTCCCTCATCCATCCCCTGCCCTCCATTCCCACTCCCCTACTCTCTTATCTCCTTTCCTCTCATATTCCCTTTCTCCTGAAGTGGGGCGAAGAGAAGTGGAGTACGGCAGTAATAACCAGTGATTCTCTCATTGTATCTGACACAACGCTTTAGTTAATCTGCCTTACTCCACTTACTGTTATGTTCAGGGTATCAGGTGCCTCTGGAAAGCTAGTGGTGAGGGTTTTTTGCCTAGTTTGTGTAGTGATGAGGACAGGGTGTGGATGAGGGTAATTTGAGCCTCTGCTGCTCTGAACCTCAACTTTTGACTATGTATTGGACAAGCAAACCTGCCACCTCAACAAACAAATGTTATTTTTAAATCTACTGTGCTCTCCACATGTTCACAAAATTAAGATGCACAAACTATTGATGCATTTGTAAAAAACTGAGAACAAAAAATATAATTCTGGCTTTTTGAATA